TGTGGACAAGAGAATGTCTTTTGACAAGAAAAATAAGTRCGAAAATTAAGTGCGTATATTTATGCGACATACTTTGTAATTAGGTTTTGAGCCTGAGTTACCTGTGGTTTATGMAGTGTTATTAATAATTGGCCGGCGCACCCAACATTTTGGGGTGYCGTACCAATCCTGCTTGTCGTGTAMATGGGGTTTAACCGCGATCATTGTGCATTTCCTCCGTTCTCGGTAATTTACTCGTACAAGTGAATACAAATACCTTGACAGTGAAGGCTAAACAGGATATTGCTCGTTCAAAGTGTCCAATACCAAGAACTTGAAGGGTTTCAAGTGTTGTAGAGTCCCATATACGAACATGAGGCTAAGAGGAATGTAAGTCAATTAAAACTAAATTTGTAGCRAAGCTTTATTTGAAATAGACCCGCAATAATTCGTTTAAAACATTGACAACCTGGTGAAACCGGAGAACCTTCGCTAAATTTATTACTCACCCTTCCTTCGTCCTTGTCATGGCCTGCAACTTGCCCACTTGCCAAATAAAGCTTGTTTGGGTGCAGAGCAATGCTTGAATTAAAGAAAATTTTTGATAAGTGTTTCTTAATTGAGCAAGACATAGCGCATAAAACGATATGGAACTCTAGCAAACTTGGTATTCCTAHCTTGGTAATCCTATCGTATAGAGAGTGCCATTTGCACTACTGATTTAGTTACACGACACAAGCTGCGATTTTTGGGGCACAAAAAWGTTATTGAAAACCCAAATCGATAGTGTAAACAGTCTACAAAATAAAGCGATTTTACGGCGGCAGGTCTCAGGTTTATCGYAGTAAATTCGATCATGTTTTCACTCGGTGCAAATCGCTGTAATTTCAGTTCTCTTGAAATTGGTATATGGAATCTCCCTGTGTATGTAAATGTGCGACAAAATCGATCGCCGCAAAATTAGCAGCTCATGTAGCGCGCAAAATTGATCATGTCATAAACTTGTTTATTCTCTCGTCACTTCCGTAATTCGAGAACGACTGACGTGTAAACTTATCTGGATGGCTTTTAAGCATCATAARACATTGGGTATCGAGTATTAAAGAAACGAATGCCAAAGCTTTTCAAACGTAATAGCGGAGCTCCCGAGAGGAGCACCATAGCTAAGAAAAAATGGTATATCCATCGAGTCGATTTTCGATGGACCGACACAGGGTTCCCGCGCGTATGCACGTTTCCTTCCTTCCTTCCTTCCGGGCGTCCGTATACCACCACAGGAAAACCATACTCCAAAAGCGCCAAAATATTTGTTGAAACATCGAATTTTTTTTCTCAAACACTTATCTTCCAAATTAATAATATCAGAAAAAGTAATCGCAAGAAAAAAATACAGAGGAGAGCGAAATCAAAGCACAGAAATATTCCCGCCAATTTTGTCATAAGTACGACGCGTCTGCACATCCGGGAAATCGATTTGCGAAGATAAAAAGCATACTTTTGTCAAGCGTTTTGAAGCTCAGTTTTTATGAATAACAGGATGACTTTTCGCTTTGACATTTCTCCAACAAGAACAAGATGATGCTATATTGAAAATACTGCAAAAATATTGGGAAAAGCAACAATCTGTGTGAAATTTTTTTTCCAAGAAGTGTGGAGATTTCACTGAAACCAACCAGAAGAACTCGATTGAGAGAGATTTAAAAACACAAAGAATCAACAAAATTACAGCCTTGAATAACTTTACAAATTGATGAAACCTATGCTTGAAACAGTATGGTTCTGTTGAAGATGTCTTTTAAGCGATAATTTATCGGAAGTTGAATGATACAGTTTTCTGCGATGTGAAGTTCGAGTAGGGAGGGTTCAAACATCGAACTTTTGCCGAGTTTAATCCGATTGATGATTGCAAGCTTATGTAGACTACTTTTGCCGAGAAACTTTCAGTTTAGTTTAAATCAATTGACCTTTACAGATTATAATAACTTYGTCCAACGGAACAAAATTATACCGAAGTCAATATTAAATTTAGAGTATGAAATTCTCATAAACATACTCTTTAATATGTTTATAATATTTGTTTGCATATCAACATTCCTTGAAACAGCGTATCTCTACTAAGTCTATCCTTGAAATAGTAATACTATAGTATAGATAATCATTTTCAGCTTCTGTTTTGCTATTGGAGSTCCGCTATTAGGTGTTTATTTTTTAGATTCGAAGCAGAATAAGAATACTTTACCATTTRACGTCATCGTTGTGACCCAAGTAATGCCTTTGGYATCCAGTCTCCTGATTAAACAGCACGACCACTGCCGCTATATTATACACCATCTCACCAGTTGGTAGATAGAAAAGATTGTCACGACAATCTCTTCCACGATATCCATAGCTGGGCGTGAATGTTAAGGACAGCGAACAACCTGTAAAGCCTGGTTAACTTGACGGTGTAAACATCGAATCAATCAAAAACTCCTCCCTTCTGATCTATGTTCGCTTATGTCTWTGTTGACATCCATAGTTGGTGCATTGGTTTGTTCGCTAGTAACCTTCCCTACATTACCCTACATAAGTAGAAATTGTCAACTTTCAAAACGGRCAGAAGACTGGGAACGAATTTCTGACACTTTTTTCATTTTTTAACATCCATCCAACAACAATRAAATATCATATTAAAATTCAGTAAATTTGTGAGTTTCACATTTTTGAAGTAGAGGATATTACATGGACTCGCGGAGATAGAGATTCCACCTTGAAAGCTAGTCTTGAGAGATTTTCAACACGAGAAGATTTTCACTAGGGCAAATAACTTTTCGAAAGRAAGAAATAGAGTACAAACATTAAAAGCGTGCAACACTTTCCACTATTTACTACTAAATAGTGCTAATTACACAATAGAAAACAATAGAATTAAGGAGAGAATTAAGGATAGAAATAAGGATAAAGGTTTAGCGAGCATAATTTAGCAGTATTTAGTGGTATTTATATTGCACAGTTTTAGTGTTTTTATTCTATAAGTAATTTATGTATAGACATATGATAAGTGTTTTTGCTTACTGGATATAAAACGCATTCTGAAAAACTTTAGAGTGCATTTCCATATATCCGTGACACATTTTACAAGGAATTGCACAAAATTACACTAAGACATATGATTTCACACTAATTTGCCTAATTTAGTTTGCAAACCATTTCATGGATATATTAAAAGCAGTCTAGCTAGTGAAAATATGGACTAAGCATACTGTTAAAGATACATCCATTCTAATTGCAACGTCTGGTCCGGTGGAAGCCCTACATTCTTGTCTTCAACAAAGTCGCTTGGAGGATAAAGGTTTAGCGAGCGGCCACGAATATACAGACGAGTAGGMTCATCTAAAASCAAAACCAAAATCAAAAYGCTTCTTTTTATCATTATAATCATGATGATTTGAAAGATGATGTTTTACGTTTTTAGCGGTAATGTTGACATAATAGATAAGCTCAACGTTGTCTCTCTTTGATGCAAGGGCACGGCTACCTTTCAAGATTGCGCAGGAAACCGCATTCATTCCTAAATAGACTTTTGAAGCTTTTTTTGTTATGTACGTGATTTTTTGTCATGTACGTGATATAATGCATTGTGKKATCAAGTTTCCGGAACCATGTTTTCCCAAAACATATCATACAGTGCATTGCCGCTTCAAAGGTCTGTTGCAGCAAAAACATTGCTCACAAATTATCAAAAAYGTTATGGACTTCTTCTAGTATATTACCTCGTTGTGCTTTCGAATTTGGATCATCCACTTTCATATTTAGTGAGCTGAAAAAAAGGGCAAAAGGTTTGATTAGCTTTTGATAGTTTTTGTAAAAATTAATTGTTGCGTACCTTGTCGATGAGTGGCGTTGAAGATTTGAACCCTTTTTCCTAAAATCAAACCATCTATTTATTRTATTTGTAATACTTTTTGTACCRTCTTTGTTAACGAGCACGAGATTGATCAAAATCAGAATTGCGTTTGTTGGTATTATAAAAAAAGTCAAAAGTCAAAGTTGGTTATTATAAAAAAAAGTCTGTATAGAGAACTACAATTCGGAGTAATCAAAAAACAAACCGCTTTTTTTCAAACTTTAAGAGTAATTATTACAAAGAAAGAATGAATAATATTAAAAAGGCTAATTTTTATACACAGTCAATAACATTCACTAACGTTCTTAAGTTGTAAAGACATCAACACAAGAACAAAACTATATTTCCATGAAAATGYCTTTGAAAATTTCCGGGAAGGATTTTAGTTTATAACTCCAGATAAATATCGAATTAAACTAAATTTATTGACTTTAGCAATAAACTTTATGTTGAATGTCCTTGCAAATACTTCAAAGTTATGATATATAAAAATGACTTTTGTGTGTCTTTATCTCTTTACATCTTTCAAGTTAAAGTGCACCTAACCCCTAAAAAATGACATTTTTTTCTAAAATTAGGGAGGTTTCTTAGAACTTTGKCGAAAMAATTACACGATTTTATTGAAATCCCGATTTTTTACAAATTTTTAAACATGCAAGAAAAGGTACTTCGAGCTCCATGTAGTGGACAAGCAATTCTAGAGTATCACGTGACTCGTGACGTCAACTCAGTATCAGATACTTTCGAAACCCTCATGTAAACACTGTCGGTAGTAGAGTTTTTATAGATTTTCATAGATTTTTGAGTTAAAAATGCTGAATCGGCATGTTGTTTACGGTTTCAACAACACACCAAATAGAGAAGGTATTGTCTTATTGTCTGGRTTGACGTCACACTCGTTTCCATACTTCTTTCGAGGCTGTCCATCCGAAATCCAACTTTAAATATTTGCCAAAAATCAGGAATTGAATGACAACGAGTCATTYTTTCGCCAAAGCTCTTAGAAACTTCCCTAATTTTAGAAAAAATATGTMATTTTTCAGGGGTTAGGTGCTCTTTAAAACAATGTTAAGGATAGTTCATCAATGCTACAGCATTTTTTACGATATTTTTCTTAAATATTTTTTTAAAGTTCYATTTCCTTTTTAAACTGGACACCCTTTTCACAAATGGATATATACGATTAAATCATTACCTGATGGAGTTTCTAGGAGATTTCAAGGAAGTAGAACTACTAACTGTTTTGGATCTTGTGCGTTTGTTGGAGGTGGTTGTCAAGTCAGCCTCACTTGCACGCCGCGTCAGGGTTGGCTTAGGTTCACTTAGATGACGTGCACTTATGCGAGGACGGCTTTCAGTTTTATCACTTACCACACGCGCACGCGCAGTAGCTGTTACTGATTCTCTTGAAATTGTGATATCTGCAGAAGGACTGGAACGAGGGCTTTTATCTGTGCAACTTGAATTATTTGTACGCGTCGTGTTGTTGAAATCATCGAGRGGACTTGGACTTGTTATATTTAAGCTATCATTTTCATCGCTCTGTTTACGAATATGTTCAGGAGTTGGTATAGAGTCAACAGGGCTGAACACGTCTTGAACAGGACTGGCGAGAGGACTGCTAGTGTCATCCTTCGGTGTTTGAGAAGGTACAACGCTTACAATGGAGTTACTAGGTTTAGTGATGTCGCGAAMAKGACCGATAGGCTTCACATCTTTTTCAAAAGTGATCCCACGAGCAAGCATATTACTTGCATCTGGGTCACAAGGTGTCATGTCATCTCCAATACAACTGTTACAAGGATTATCTTCTCCTTGATCAGTGTTACCAGGATTAGTAAAACTACGGGTAGGACTTACACTGATACGACTGGTGGTGGGAGAGATGACAATTTGTTCTGTTGAATCACTCGAATATTTAACCTGTAAATGAGGATTTTATCAATGMYTGTTTGAGTAAAGCGAACCGCCGTAAGAGTGACATTACCTTTGTTTTTGCTTCGGCATTTTCAGTACGTCCAGTATTCATTTCTACGACTGACGTTTTCCGCTGATTTCCAGTTCTTAATTCGTTAGTCTTTAGGTCAGTTACAGACTCTAACGCTATCGATGTTGACGACGCTGAGGTTACCTAAATTTCAGTTTTCACATTATTTGTATGCTAGATCATTTTAAATGACACACATTTTTTGACAGAAAAGGTAGATTACCGTTGTCGTAGGAACAGTTGTCACTGTCACCGAGGTTTTATCCACACTACGCGGTAAAGGAGACTTGGCTCTCATTGATTTCAGCAGGCCCTTAACCATATTGATGTTGTAACCCTGTGTAAAAGGAAAGATAATGGATATTCCATCAATTTTAATAATGGCTCAATGAGCGCTCAATTTCACGGGTGAATGTTCAAACGGACAGGATTTTTAAAATTCGTAACACCTTACTTCGTTATATTCTGCGACTCGAATGAAACCAATGCGCACGCCCCTAAGGCTGATATTCACACCATCCGTTTCGATGTCGCCTAATAARCTATYACAGTCTTTAGTAGTAGACTGAGACTTCATTACATCTAACTGATTTCAATKTTAATTTAATGGAACAGCTACGCACACAAAAGATATACGAAGCCTATCGTAAAATGAACGAAGTTTGCTGAACCAAAACAAGATGATAATGCAGTATATCAAAAAGTGAGGCAGCATTCGCGTTTTAAGTTGAATGYCAAGTATCATCATATACCATTGGAGTAAGTGAAAGGACGTTAAATGAAGTCACATGTATTCTTATCAATAATCTACAACTATCGAGCTTGGGCTATATATACCTCTGATCAAGCACTGGCCAACGGAGGGATCTATGCATAAATAATTTTTTCACAAAATTGCTTTTTTGAAGGATTTACTATAACATTGATTGGTGATCACTTACAAGACTATCACTGGTATCTTCATCTAATCGATTACTTCTTGGGGCAGAACTTATTGAATGTCGAGATGGACGGACAAGCGCAGCAGGTTGAATAGATGACGATGTTGTGGGTATTGATGGCATCATGCGACCTGAAAAAGTAAAGGTAAAACATGACCATCTACTATTGTCGATTTACTTACCAAAACACTTTTGAATGAAAACGTAACATGAGGTCATAACAGTTTTCCTGAAMACGTGAAAAGCGCGATAACCACAAGACTCACTGACTGAACTGGTACATATACGGCAGGTTAAATCACAAGTTTCAAACTTTGCGATAGCGTATAGTTTTCTATGATTTTGGATTTCAAAGCGTACTAAGAAATGTTCTATAACAGAGGTCATTTAATTTTCCCAGTGGAGCGTAATGCCCTCCATCTGCTCATGAGCTGTTTTACCATAAAAGTCAATTACCTTTTGGTCTCTTTGCACTTTCCTCTACTGCTCCGAGCCTCCTCAAGATGTTTGCCAAAGCAGACTTCAGTATAACAATCTCGTCTTGTTGTGACAAGACTTTCTTTTCTAGGCTCGAGAGTCTGTCTGTCTTATCAGCAAGTGATTCTACGTTATTGTGAAGATAAAGTATCAGTATCTGAGCTGAAAATCATTTAAAATAAATTTACGCAGGTCTTTTTTAAAGTTATGCGGATATAAACGGACCCAATGACAAGAAAACGCATATCTCTGGCGGTCGGGTTTGAGCGTATTCTGACRAATGATTACAGAGCGGAAAACGTTAAAAACTCGAAAAAATTACAAAAAATGYATGAAGCTTTATGACAGCGTCTCCCAAAAACATACATTTTTTCAGTTAAAAAAATTGCTATTTGATGAGTATTAAGTCTCTGAAAGGGGGGCGGACCGACACGGGAGATAGAGCCTGTCGCTCCACCCCAATCCCCTTCGAGAGAGGATGATACTCAGACTAAACTAAACTCGAAAAAAAGTAATTGATAAGATAATAAATAACTAATTGTTGCATGGTCTTTCACATCGTAAGGTTTAATTTTTGTCAAATGGACAAGTTTCARACTTTTTCACAGTCTTCTCTTAAATTTTGGGAATGCCGATAGCTCTTTTTGTGGTTAGAAAACAACTTGCGCGAGAAGCCTGTGGTTTTGTACCAAAGAGTGACAGAGGGGCAACAATCCAAAAATTGTCCTTTGTTTATCTTTTTGCAATGTAAGCATTTYATAASTTTGATATGTCTTGCCGCTTTTGTTCATTTTGGGGGTGCAGCAAACATTTTGCCCGCTTTGGTTTTAACTTCAAAAAGATCTGTTGTATAATATAATGAACATGTCGTGTGTGACCATCCGTGTATTGTGTTTTGAATCACGCCATGATCACCTGTTTGTATGTTTTCATTCTGATCCAAGAGAACGGGGGAAGGTGCTGACATCGTCCGACGTGGTGATGAAAACATTCTTTCGTATGGTTCAGATGGCTGCTTTAACATATCAAACGAACGATTCTGTGATAAAAATGTTCGCTCATGTGACTCAGATGACGATTGTAAGTTTTCAAAATGATCTGGAAAGTCCTCCATTTTTCGATCACTGGCCGTTGACATTGCTTTGAATATATCACTCAATTCTATTTCTGATGATTTCCTTCTTAAATATGCACCTTCCATCTTTACTGGCATGAATAAATTCAGCTGAAATAATAAGAGCGAGAGTCACAATGTTACGCAGACGAATGTAATGATAGACTTATACGCTTCAATTTCAATGAAAACAAGTGGATTTGTAATGCTCTGATATGTCGTAGTAAAATAATGCGATATCCTTTACAGACATTTCATATGAGATACAGACACCATAGTAKACCGACATATACACATACATAGTACAGATACAGACACCACAATAACTATGGTGATAGGTCGTTAATTGGGGTTAACTCCAAGTGTCAGCTCAAATTAACTACTGTTAGTGCAAGAAAATCCCCTCCTTTTCTACTTAGAAACCAATGATAATACATCTGATCGGTAATCTAACTGACTAAGTCACTCCGTACTCCTCATCCTCTATTTCGTTCCTTCAAATTGTTCTTGTACTGCTTTTTTTCATTTTTATGTATTCTTAGTACTTTTCTTTTC